CTGTCATCAGATCATGATGCTACTATTACTGTAAAATGACAGTGACAATTCGAAACGTAGTATACTAGGCCATGATAGTTACACTCTACATCAGCACTCGAGTGAACCCCTTCTCACGACTCGGTAAATAAAGTGAAATATTGCCCTCAACTTTGTCGTGATTCACTGCAATACATATACAGTACTTTGCTAGAGGCTCCCATCGCCGACCATGTCAGTTCTTCACCCTACAGTGCTTTCGTTTCCAGATCTCCTGCTTCCCATTCACAAGGGCAGATGGCATTCTCGATCTGCCATTTATTGCCCGAAAAGATGAATTACTTCGCTCCGCCCGCTCCCAGTAACTCCTCAGCCTCAAAGTCGCAGTGAAACGATGGTAAACGGTCATTGTAGACTACGACGACTGGTGATACTCTAGGAACGTACATGACCACCACTGGTGATAGAATGCTATACAATGACTTAGTACTAGTGGTATCATACTTTAACGTGATTCAATCGTGTGTCTTTGATACAGTCTCAAGACAGGTTGAACTTCGAAGGGCTTCAGTCTGAGTCGGAGCCTTCTTCCTCCTCGTCGTCGTCACTCTCAGAGGCCATACCATCCGAGTCCATGGCGACGTCGTTATCATAGGCAGCATCGTCGTCTCCGCCATGCCTGATCACGAGCCTTAACCCACAACCCTAGAGGGCCATTGATAGTACATACTTCGCCAGAGGCTCGGGAGGAGTCTGCTTGGCTGAGTGCTGCTGAGTAGCAGTACATACGTTTATAATTGCTTGTACTCTACCATGCAGCTTCGACAGAGCAGAGAAGTAGGCACTACGTTGATGGAAAGACTCCAACAGAGGAGCTGAGGGAAATCCAAGCACAATATGAGGGAACAGGAGGAAGAGAACCCTAGAGTACCGATGGCTGCTCTGGTGTCCTCAGGATGCCCCGAGAGATACCCAGCATGGACCAATAGTAAATTGCGAGCCCATTCCGCAAGGACCATGGCACGGGTCGGGGACTTGTCCAACGCCACGCAAATGTGCGACAAGATCTGTGCAGCCTCAGGACCTGACCGCCGAGACTAGGAGGGGACCATTGATACGACGGAGCAAGTACCAGTTATGTCCCTAGCAGTAGCTGCCATAACGGCATTATTAGTCGTGTGAAGGACCCGGTCGAGGGCCATGGTGTCCCCACCAGCAAGGCCCTGTCGGGCGAGTGCAGCCATAGACGCTGAGCCCGAAGACCTGCTAGTGGTATCCACTGGTGACCTCTAGAAGGTATCGACTTGCCTCGGTTTCTCGATTGCTCGAAGTGCCTTTTTCTCAGCGATGAGCTTCTCTTCAGCCTCCTTAGTTCGCTCGACCAGAGCCTAAAGCGCCACTGTCAGCCCCCCCTAGGGCCGATCCCAGTACTACTTCCATCTGCTCCTCAGTGGCCGCACGCTTCGTCGCTGGTGGCTGCGACATAAAGACTAGTAAATGAGGGACTGCAAGCCTGTTGACAGTAATGGTCACGCAACTCAACCATTCGAGTCAGTTGCAAGTAAGCGCCAACGGAGTCGTGGATCGGTCCCTCGCCTCGGTGACTCCTTGTCTGGGTAGACCCTGCGAGTTAGGGTCAGTCCGAGCTCACGTATTATAATTGAGATCACCCAGCATGCTTGATTGCAGTGTGCATGCTTGTCTACGGGCCACATCGCTCTCAGAATGGGCATCAGGCCGGGGCACGCGCCACGAAACTACGCGCGCGCCATGACCGTGCATTGCGGCACGAGCATTTCCAAATGTATACCCCCCCCAACTGGTCCCAGTGCCTTATCGCGTTACTGGATGGTGAGTTCCAACGAGATCGAATGTGAGATCGAGCTGCCAACTCTTACATCCACTCAACGAGTGCGATAGAGGGTGGCCCATACCTCACGTGCTTCCCCACCGAGGGAGAGGTTCTCACTCCGGGTTCTTCCCTGTTGAACTGTGCATTTTAAGTCCTTTTGAGAGGGCTGTCATGCCGGGCGACCCCGTTTGCATTGGGAGAAGCTTTGGTATTGCATCAACACGCTGGGACACAAGACAGCTGATACTATACCAGTAAGACCTACTACTTCGCTAGTACCTTCAGGTACCCCGTAGTCAAGTAGTTCCCCTGCATGTGTCGGCATGACCACATAGTGCATGAAGTCCATATCTCAAGTGTCGACTATAAGCTGGTTGGACGCCGCTGGTGTGTGTGATGACTCGTCGTTGTCGATTGTCTTTTACTCGGTCACTCTCTACTGTACCGGTCGCACTCCATTTCGACAACAGTCAAATACGACAATGTGCTGTCGAAAATAAGCTATCCTAATTAATTGGCGAAAACACATACGTTGTCGAATTCGACAAGTGCTCAGTAGGTGTCGAGATGGACAACTGTTATCACTTTCGACAATCGAAATGTTGTCTAAATTGGTTGCGCGCGCCATAGTGTTGTGTGCTGTCTAGACTTGTCGTAAACGAGAATGTAACTCCCCGAAATCGACAACTCTGTTGATAGTTTGGTTTCTGAAGGCGAATGGAACATAGACATCGATTTTGCGGAGGTTCGATAGTCTAACTCGAGGGAGTCACTGCTAGGAAGTACATGACCAAGGTTCGATTCGCACAGATGTTATGTTCTGAGGCGCGAGTCGGTGTTTGCGAAACATGTCGTAGCGGTGTATTTAAACTTCCAATTTTGAGGAACAATTCATGTCGATATGATACAGCGGGCTGAGAGCTTTGTGTACAATACGAATGTTGAACAGTCAAATCGCTTCAGGGTTTTGTAATACCGACACGGCATTATCATGTTATGCGTTTCCGGAGAATATTTCCTCAGTGAATCGTGTGTCGAATTCACGCGATCATTTATCGTTCGTATCCCACTATTCATCTCCCGTCTGGAGAACTCGGTGTTTCTT